CATCCATCCAATAAATGAAAATCTCTTTTTGCTATGTGTTTGTATGAGTTCACGTTCTGTGCTGCTTCTTCAACCCTGGTACTACTGTAGGGTTAACCAGATCCTTCCTTGATGCTCCCTTTGCAGGGATGAGGGTGACTGAATTGAGAAAAGGGTGAGGAAAGGAACACAGAAATATGAGAAAGAGATATTGGGTGGTGAGTGGGTTGGGAGTCAGGAAAAATTATCTTGTAACCTTGAAGGCCCAGATTGGGCTAGTTCCTTGTGTTGGAATAAGCCTACTTGAAGCATCATGGTTGAACCTTGAGTATGGCTCTACATCAGGGATGGGGAACATATGGCCCTCCAGATGCTGGTAGACTGCAGCTGTTATAAATTCCAGCCAACAGGCAATGGTGAGGGATAGTGGGAATTTCAGTCCTGGAGGACTACCTATTCTCCACTACTGCTCTACATAGCTCTTGGTAAGGTAATCACTTTATTAGGAAGGTTCTGTAGTTTTCTCTGGTGGTGCCCTTAACACAAGCCTGCAACAGTGTTTCTCCTAGTCCAAGGGAAGAGAGAACTGTGTTGTACTTAAGCAGTGCACTGCAAGTCCGCTGTGCTTAAACACAATATAAACAGAATGAAGGCAAGGCACATTCTGTGACAGTAAAGTGTGGTCAGTAAAGTGGAGGAATGATCATATGGGGAAGAGTTGGAAGTCTGGACAAGCAGCAGCTGGCACGGCTTCTTTCATCCACTACGCTTCCCATTTCTGTCACCACTACAAATTCTTGCTCTGTAGACATTGACTCTTGGAAAAAGCAACCAACATCTCCACCCATTCCACTTCAGCGCCTGAAAATACATTGACTTCCTCAGCCTATGAGTTCAGGTCAGATTGATGGTGAACACAAGGAAACCGGAGGCCTTCCTTGCTCTCAGGACAAGATGGGCACTTATTTCTGGGAAGAAATATAGAAGTAGGTGACACTCAACCTTCCGACAGGGCTTGGAGGAGACTTCAAAGGAGGCCTTGAATGCTCGTCGCTGCTGTGTGGTGAGGATGGTGCGTGGGCGCTTGGAGCGCTTGTGGTCTTTGCCTTCCTCACCACCCTTGCCATGGGGATGGCTCCCATCCTCATCCTCACTCTTCACTATGAAAGAAAGCCACATGAGTTAGGATTCCTCTACCCAAGTGATGATTGTGCTCCAGGAGAGACAGAGTGCGCAGACATTGCCCTCCAACCCAGCTTTCAGAAATCTATGCAGGCTTCCAAGATGGATGCCCCAATCCACACATCTTGTCAGATACATGTGGCTAGAAGTTCTTAGGAATCCCCTTAGTTATAGGCAAATATTAATTTTTGCCAGACCTGGAACTGCATCTTAATCTGTAGTCTTACACAAGGAATTTAAAGTGACTTTGTTTTTCCCCTGGAAAGAGTATGAAATGCAAGGAGAGTGGGAAGGGCTTTGCCAGCATCAGAGGTTGGCTTTGTTGGGACCACATAGATGACATCCTCACAAGGGGCCAGGGCCTCATCCTCCAGACTTCCTTGCCCTGGTTCTCCCTCAGCTCACTACAACGGAGGGAGACAAGCACTGATGACAGTCAGGAGATGAAGCAGACCCCTTTGCTTACCTTGTGCTTCTGTTCTGGCCTCTTGTACTGATTGGGCCCAGAAAAGGGGGAGTAAGCAAATGGGCAATGGGAACAGAAGTCCCACTGAAAGCCTCTTTCCCAAAAATTCCCCCAAAGCGTAAGCTGGCACTATTTCTTCTGTCATGCTTTTATTAATTCAGGGATGCAGAACCTCAGGTCTGGGGAGCCAAATCTGGCCCTCCTGCAGCTTCCCTAAAGGTCCACTCCACTTCTCCTGGATTTTGCCATTGTCTCCCATCCTAAAAGCCTCTTCTAAGGCTTAGTCACCGGAACTAAGAGCTTCAAGCTAAAATAGGCTGGCATTTTGGCCCTGCCACTTTTGGCTTCAGCCCTTCCTGCCAAGTGCCTTTCCACCAAGGAATTAGGCTCTCAGGCTAAAAGAGCCCTGCATCAAGGGTACAAAGCCATGGCCAGGAAAAAAGATAGCAAGCCAAACAACTATTCACCATTCACACAACCTTTTCAAGAACCAGTTGAAAGAATGAACAGAATTCCCCTCTCATCCAACAGTTTGGAGATAGGTTTAGCAGTGGAGTGTGATTCCAAAGCAGTTTGCCACAACCTGGCACCCTGCAAAAGTTTTGAACCACAACTCTCATTAGCCCTAACTAGTATTACAAGTCAGGAGTGAAGGGTGCTATAATACAAAATATCTGGCTGCCACCAGACTGAGAACGGCTGTATTAAAATGCTTTAACATGCATAGTTCAGGCTGTTTGATTTGGATTAGTTGTTTGGATGCTCAGATCAGGACTTATTGTTGCAGGCACCCTGATGTAGGGTGTCTCTGACAGCCCCTCCCATCCCAGCTCATCCTTCAGTGGAGACAGCTCTGCTCTGATGTCACCAGGTGCTTCTTGCACCTGATACACTCTGGCCCAGCATCTTGGTTTCGGCAGTGCACTTTCTGCATGTGCTTGCTCATATTAGCCCTGATGCCCAGCCTGGCCTTGATGTCCTGAAGATGACATTCCATATTTCAGGCTCAGGATCCAGATCTGGTCCACCAGGAATCCTAGTCTGGCATTCTGAGGTTTCATGAAGGAGATACCCTCTTCTCCCCCAGCCAGCAATGGTTTTGTCATTCCCCACCCTTTTGTGCACTACCCTCCACCCTGCCATCCCGAAAGGTTAAATATTCCCTTGAAGCTTTCTTACTGACAATAAGAGTATTGACCCAAACTGGCTGGCTAGGCCACACCCCTTTGGCCTTCAGCCTCACCCACCACTTGACCATGCCTTCTCAGAGCAACTCTGAGATAGAGTAGGCCTTAGCCTGAAATGGTTTCTGTGCCCCTGCTTTTGTGCTCTGATGCCCGTGCAGAAGAGGGGATTTTGGCCCATGCAACATTTCTAACTTTTGCAGCCCTACAGGATGATAAGGTGTCCCTGTCAGTATTTTCTCTCCTATAAAAACAAGCTGCTTTGCCCACCCTAGTGTTAACCAAGGTGACCAAAGGTAGATGCATGTAGGTACAATAGGCACTCATGCAGAGCAATCCTAAACATACAGGATTAATATCTTAGACAGTGAACTAAAGCTTGAATAAATAAATAGCACATTTGGTTTACTGATAATAATATCCTATAGTGTCCAGTGGGGCTTTCTGCTATGAAATTGTTCTTTGCAGCCTGAAGCTTTCATGATGGGAAATACAGAACCAGGCAGGGAGACTCTGTCTATGAATCTGGGTTGAGTGGCATCAGATGGGGCACTCTGCATGCACTCAGGAACATTCTGCTCACTCCCAACAGAACATGTCTCTGCTGCCCTTGCTCTCTCACCTGACTCAGTAGGAGCAGGGCTGATAGCGCTCAGCATTTCCCGCTCCTTCTCATAGTCGCTGCGGCACAGCAACTGCCCTTCCTTCAGCACAAACTCATCCCCACGCTGCAGCCGCCGCTCGCACTCGCAGCAGGAGAAGCAGTGGACATGGTAAACGTTCTCCAGCACCCGCATGATGAACTCTGAAGGAGCCACTGCTTTGAGACAACCACTGCATTTGGTCTGGAAGAGCCTGAGGGAGAGGGAGAGAGAGAATGTCAGGGTGAAGCAGTAAGAGTAGGAAGAGACCAGAAAAATCTCTCTGAGGCACCAGCCCACACACAATTTTTATTAGACTTGGTGTGTGCGAACTGATGTTAGTCACATGTGGCACTTCAGCAACTTCAAAGTTAGAACTCTTTTCCCCCAATTTTTAAAGTGCTGCCCTTTTCCATTGCTTAAGAGGGAGTCTTACTCACTTCAGGTAACAGAGACATACCTAGAAAAAGACACATTAGCAAATTATGAGTCTCAACTAAAGATTGCCAAATGACAGGGAAACAAAACCTGAGACACTGTAAAGGGCAGGATAGAAAAACTTTATAAACAAACCTCCAGCACCAATCCAGCCTGGCCAATTGCTAGTGAAACAAAGGCAAAGCTGGGGGCATCCATTCCTTCTACATGGCCAAGGGACTTGCAGTTTTGATTTCAAGGCTTAGTTCAGTTCTGTCAGATTTTATCTCCGTGTCTCTAATAGGGTGCCTGTGAGGACTAATATGCCTGGGAACATCTCTGCTGGCTCCACCATGCTCTCTGCCACTCTTATTTTTTATTTCTTCAAATATAATGATGATGATGGGGAGGCAAACATGCTGCCATGCAGTATGTTGCTCTTCTGCACCATCTTTATTTGGGTTCAACAGAACAGGTTTGTGTTTTGGCACTCATAGCCTACCTCTGCTTTTTTGGATGTTTTTTGGCAAGTTGCTTTTATTTTACTCTCACCAGTTTGCCTTCTGGAAAATGAGCATTTTGTTGTGCTCAATGTGGCAGCCAGTTTAAGCAATGGGCAAGGTGATCCCTTGACAGTCATTTTGTGACAGCACCAACTAGATTCTCCCAAGATTCCAGAGGTAGCCATTGACCTAAAATAGTTGGGGACATCACCTTATCTTCTTAAGCAGGAAACAGGACTATGCCTATATGTGCCAAAAAGAAGAAAGAAGAGCAAGCTGCGTGCCTGCATTTGCCTGACCTAGTACACCAATCTTCCATGTCCCCTCTGTGAAGTTCAGAGCTGCTTCTACAATATATTGTTTCCCAGACAGTTTCCTACTCAGGCAGCTTCGCTAAACATCTGCTAAAAATCCACCACTTTGTTCTTCCTTTCTGTAACTGGTCTCCCAACAACTTTTAGCATTTTCTGTCACTCCTTGCTTTGTTCTTGTGAGGATAGAACTCACAAGAGGGAAGAACACCTGGGCATGTAGCCACCTTGAGTTCCACAATGGGAATAGTAATAATAATAAACTCTGTTACAAGGAAAATGTGATGTTTCTAGTCCACATGTTCTTCTTAAGGCAAATACAGGGGACATCAGAAAAAGAAGAAATGCATTGCCAAGAATAAAATTTAAAAAGGGTGCATGGACTTGCATAAAATATGTGTGTGCTAATTTACACACACACACACACAAATTTAGAAATAATCACTCTTAGGGAAATAGAAATAAAATGCATTGTATTCTGGGAAAGGCCATGAGTGGTAGATGTCCTGTCTGCCTGCTCATTCTGTTCACTATGGATGAACAACTTCAAGTTCTTCCTTGCTCTCTCTTTCTAAGGTTCTTTCTCTTTAACCCAGAAACCCCTTCAAATGGGTGACTGTTCTTGGTAAAGTAGGATGCATGGCTACTCTATCTGACTGAAGGAAATGCACCAGAGCATGCATGTGTGCACACGCACACACTTGCAGGAGGGCATTAACAAGGAAGAAATGGATTGACCACCCTCCATCCTGCTTCTTTTCTGTATTAATGTAAACTGCAGCCCTACTTTTTATCTCAGTGACTGGACCAGCCCAAGACATTCCCCTGCCTAAGATGAACAAAGGCTGAGATTGTGCCCCTCCAGACTGGCAGCTGAATTTTTCCACTGCTGACAAAAGTGTCCTCCACTGCACTGGAGGACTGTATAGGACACATAGCTCTGCCCCCTCAACACCTCACCAACCACCATCCCACATGCCTTTCACAACATCTGTCACCTCCTGCTGTCCTGTCACTCTCCCTATTGGAAAGGCTGGTTCTACCAGCAAACAAAGCTTAAGAAACTTGCATCTGACTGAAGTAGCATGTGGCTCCATTCATACATAACTATAAACTTGGGGGAAGGCCTAGTTTTATTCTCAGTACCTAATTTGGCCCTCTCCCAAGCCAGTGCCTTCCAAATGGGTTGGACTATAATTTTTGGCATTCCACAGCCAGGCACGGGCAAAGGCTAGCCTAATTTATACACTCTAAACATGAGAATTAACTGCTTCTTGTTGTCTTCTGCCCTAATCAGTTTAATCTAAGTGGCTAACAACAAGATTCTCTTTTGAGTTTCCTAAACATTACAAATCTTCCTCTCGCTTGCCTTCCACAACAAATCCTAAATGGCAATTAGGATCAAGACGATAAGGCAAGTTCAAAGCAGAGAACTCCTTGCAAGAGTGTGATTCCTCCTCTGTGAATTAAAATAAGTGTCCTACCCTGTTAGAGGTGATGACATGATGGCTTCTTCACCTTTCCTAACCCACATGGGAGGGCCAGCTGTGAGCACTAGAGGAGGAATGTTGGAGGTTTTGGAAGCAAAGGATGTGTCAGAGAGTGTTGGAGAAAGGTAAGAAAGAGCTGCAAACTATAACAGAGTGATGGTTACTTGGAAGGAAGTTCCACCAAACTTATCAGGACTTCCTTTTGAGAAAGCCTGGATGATAGGATGAAGGCATGTGAAGGCTAAAGATCAGGACAGGTGGCTCTACATGAATTTAAAACAGAGAATTAGTAGGGGGAGAGCTGGAATGGAGGTCTCTCACCTGACAGGTCGCTGAAGATATCCATGGCTACTAGTTCTAATGGCTATTTGCCACCTCCAGGAACCAGTTTCTGGGGAACATGGGCAGAAGGGTGCTCCTGCACTCATTTCCCCCTTGTGGGCTTCCTTTGGGCAGCTGGTTGGCTGCTGTTTGAAAACAGTGCTAGACTAGATGGACCCTGGGTCTGATCCAGAAGGGCTCTTCTTATGCTCAAGTCACCTTTGTTGTGTTTCATTACTACCAAATTGGGTGGGTTGTGTGGCAAGGGCTTAACACTCTCTATCCTAAAAGAAAACTTAACCCCTCCTTTTCCCAACCTCCAGATACTTTAGACTGAAATACCTGCCCACTGGCATAACCCCATCCAAACATTAGGAGGAATCACTAAGTTCATGAAAGCCCCAAGATCTGCAGAAGTAAAACTACACAAGCAAACAAACACCCATGTAGCCCAGTGACAACTGTGACAGAGCACTTGGAATGGTGACTATGGGCTTTGCTGCATAAGACATTGATCATGTGATCATAATCCTTCACTCAAAAGTTTGTGGGTCCTTTTCCTGGCACTGTCATCTTTCAGTGCCTCTCCTGTGTTTTCCAGTCATTTTCCAGCTTTTTTTTAAGAACAAGGAAAGCCAGCTATTAAAATTCAAATATGGAACATACCAGAGTGGGCTTGCATGACATGACAAACCATGGTGAATTTTTTTTTTTTTTTTGCCACAGTTGGCCTACTGTGTCATCTGAACCTCATTGTGGTAATTCAGTGTGGTAAGTGTGCTAGTTAGAAACCTTGAACAGCAACAATGATCTGTTCTATAGTTTCTTCATACCGTGATGGCTCATTGTGTCATCTGAACCCAGAAAACTCATTGTGGTACAAAGGCCAGAACCACAGAGACACCTGGAAAGAGCACCATTAATGGCTACCATTTTGTTGGGCAGTCAGAGATGTTCCCATTCCACCGACCTCCTGCCCTAAAAAATCTTCTTAAGGGCAGAAGCAGGTGATTCACCAGCTGCCCAGGAGAAGGCCCTCCTGTCTGCAAGAGGGTGGGGGAGAATCAGCTGGGTGACACTGCCTGGATGTGGGCAGTGCTGCTCCACTGATTCCCCTGCTGCCTGCCATTCCCATCTCTACTTGCCAGGCAGGTGACCCCAAACTGGCATCCACTCCAGGGGTTCTAATTTGGAACACTTCTCTAGCAAGCAGAGTGAGAAAAGGGGGATGAGTGCCTCCCTCCCCTCAGTGCTGCTGATTCCAAGAGACATGCTCAGGTGAAGTCAGACTGGGGATGCCTCTCTTGCAAGTGGGATTGAGGAAGAGCAGTGAATGGGTGAATCAAGCCACCCCCAGCCTGCTTATGCCCACGAAGGGCTTTTTTCTGGGTCACAGACTGGAAGGCAGTGGGGGAACCAGCTGAGCAGCCCTGTTGCTTTCCATAGTGCTGCCCTGCTGATTTCCCTGCTTTTGGCTGAGCCTGGATCAGACACCCTTCCCTTTGCTCTGGAGCAGGAGGTGAGGGTGCCTGATCAGCTCCCTCTTCTGCTCTGCTGAGCTTCGGGGTATGAATCCTGTTTGTATAGCAGGGACTGTTAGGCAGCTGTGGCAAACAAAACTATAGAAAGACAAATCCCAGAAAAAATCAGTATAAAGGACACATTTTTCCTCCTGCAAAAAATAAAATAAAATAAAATAAAATAAAATAAAATAAAATAAAGGAAGAAGTTTCAGTATAGCCACACATTAGATACCTCATGTAGAGAAATCCTTGAGGTTCAGGGAGGAAGGATGGAATAGAATGGTGGGTACTGGAATTTGCAGGCAACATTTTGCAGGTGACCCTGAACAGAAGCACTTCATGCTGCAACATTTTGTCCCACTTGTTCATGCAAATTACCATTTCTGTTCTGTCTGTGCTCCTGCTCCTCTTCTTTCTTGAAGCACCTTAACCCAGTCTGTATATATTGAACAAGCAAAGCAAGATTTCCTGCCAGACAATTGAGCATACAATCCCATGTGTTTTTAGAAAGAAAAAGGTCATGTAGCTTTCCACGGTGTCCAGTCAGCATGGCTCGCTGGGGAATGCAGAGTTGTAGGACTTTTTTTTTCCTGCTCACACAAGCACAGGAGTAGCACTTCTGAATGGGATGCAGCAGAGAGAGGTGGGA